TCGAGTATCTATTGCGTGACTAGCGCGCGCCAGCGCTAACAATAGACCGAGATCGAGTTCGATACATCGAACACCTCTCTCGGCTGCTATAACGAGCTCGCCGACAAAGTTGCTAGCAAATACCTCGGACAGTATAAATGCGGGAGAGCAATACAAGATCGCGGCAGATGGAAGTATCAGCTGCGTCGCCAGGGGCGGCTCGTAAACTAACACTTTGCACTATAAGTAAGACATTTCTAGGAACTGTATTGTGTCCGCGAACATGCAATTTTAACGTTTCCCGTTCGCGTACCATTGTTTAGATTGACAATATATTTTTACACACTCAGTATTATGGTGCAACATAGTTTTGGAATGTTGGATCGTTAAAAAATCGTTTAAAAATGGTTAAGGGGATGCTGTTATTCTGTTTTATCGACTTTAAGTTAGGTTAGGTTCACTTTTTATAATTAATTCAAGTACGAATCTTTTGATACAAGCTTTCAATCTCATTTTTATTACTTCTGTATTATTCTTTCATGTCGTCTCTATTGGAAGCGCCATATTTTGTGCACAAATAAACCGCAGAACTTTTGTATTAAATAAGTATTGTTATGAGCTGATGCAAGAGACCGATAAAAAATTGTAATTGTTTAACTTTTATTGTTCTTTTATACAAAATTACAGCGCACCCGTTCATTGTTATCAATACTTTAATTCTGGAGAAGGATTTTTTAATCTGTATAGCCAATAAAAAGAAAAGCTCTTGAACTCGAACAATCCTATGGTCAGCATCCCTTTAAGAGGTCTAAATTTATTTTCTACACCACATTTTGACGTTTCCGACAAGGAACCGCCGCATTTCCCATGGCTACCATATATTTCCATCTCTCGCGAGATAACATATGAACCGTTTGTCCGCATAACTATCTGAAACTGGCGGGGATCGATATTCCTCGCGAACGCGATTTACTGTTTCCGTTTTACAAGTCAATTCAGGATCGTTCGTGGCGTATTAAATCCGCCCCTGCGCCGCATTTCTTCCCGGTAGCCATCATTTCACACGGCTCGCCTCGTGAATCCCCAATGCGCCGTTACGAACCGAGAGAGAGAGCGATCCGCGGTGGCGAGCTGCAAGCTGCACTTAAGCTCGAGATAAGAGATCCGCCTGTCGGACGGACAGTTTTGCCGTTAAATCGGCAGGAAGGGCACGCTGCGCAAGACACGGCAATTGCAACTGACCATCTATCGTAACTTGCACCGTCCGTTCCAGCCAAGACCTGGGGGCACTCTCCGTAATAACGTGTCTAGATCACGATATCCCAATATGACGCCGATCGTGGATTCGATCCCAGGCAGAAGACGGAGGACGATATTTTTGATTTTGCGAAAGCAACGTTGAAAGTTCAACAGATCGGATTTAAATTTCAAAGAATATCTTCAGGATTTTGAGGATGTATTTTATTAAATGTCTTCGCGCGCAAAAAAATTATTTAAACATTTATTTTGAAATAAGATATAGCGGTAATATTTACAAATTAAAAATAAAATGTATACATTATTATTCCACGGAAAAAATAGTCGTTACTTCAGAGTTGAATCGTGTTAACTAAGGGTTGTTAAAAAGCACGATTTAAATTTTTCATATTTTCGGGATTTAGAGTACATTTTATTAAATATCCTCGCCTGCAAAATTCTTTAAATATTTATGATTTATTTGATTATTTTCTACATGGGTTTTGAAATAATAAAACGCAGTAGAGTGGACCTAATATATATGAATTAGAAATAATATATATAAATTGTTTTCCCATGGAAAGTGCTACTCTCTATCTAAGAGTTGGGTCTGTTAACTAAGGGTTATTAAATAGCACGCATGTTTTACATGTGATTCTAGGTTCTCACAAGCCGTTGTTTTACCGCGATCAGGGATATACCTTAGCAACCGTAAAATCCGCGAATCCTGACAGAAGATGGATATCGTATTTTCTATAATACATGGGTTGGCTGCATCGCTGAATTCTGCATTGCACGAACTGTCTTTTGCATAAGTTATCGCGAAAGATCCAGGCTCATCCGACACGAGATGTAAACTTTTTCGACACGGGGAATATCTTCGAAATTTACATTCTCACTCTCTTTTTTTTCTTATCTAAAATTATTGTGCCAAATATGAAATAACTATTGCAATTTATATCACTTTATCGCGAATACGTCATACATCACACTGAGAGAATTTTTTTTTAGAATTCACCCTGAAAATCATGGTAATTGTGGGATGGAATTTTATAAGAGTTTCTCTGATTAAATATTTATCCCAATAAAAAAGTATTAATATTTTATTACGGTAGATATTAATATTTTTATTGTGGTAAATACTAATTAGAGAAATTCTTCCAATATTTGCCACAATTAACATGACTTTCAGGATAAATTCTAAGAGAAAATTCTCTCCGTGCAGTAACGCATATAGCGTGAATAAGATATTATTAGAGCATCTAGCTGCATGAAGATAACTATTGTCCGGTCTTGAGACCCTGAATAAATTCAACCGCAAAATCCTCGGGAGGGCTTCGAAGTTCCCTTCCGTCCCTTCAAAGAATAAACAGTTCGTCGCAACGTAAACACGTCCGGCAGCACCGATGAGCGAACCAACCGGTCGGCAGGGATTTCTGCTTTGAAATTCGTCCTGGCCGCGCGCCAGACGACTCATGCATATTCACGCAACTCGCGAGCGAGTGGTCGGCGCAGGAAAAAGGGATGTGGAAAGGGCGGGAATATACATATAGGAAAGAGAGAGGAAATATAAAAAAGAGAAACGCGTCGATGATCAAGATCGGACGTAGAGTATGAAGCCGAGAGAACCGGGACCCGTGATTTCAATTTTAAATGCAAGTCCGCGTGAAGGTAGATAGGGGGTGGAACGAAAGTTCCAGCCATTGTGCGCTCGTACGTACGTACGTATGCGCATTTCTATAGATATCGTCCTCCGGTTATTCCTCTTCTCGAGAGCAGCGAATTCTCCCACACTGGAAAAAATATATGTAAAATTACATAAATAATAAATCATGAAAAGGTAAAAATTTCTAATATTTATCGTGTAATTTTACATTTATTATTTATTATTTATCGTGTAATTTTACATATTTTTTTGTGTAATATATTCCATATTTTTTACAGTTATCCGCGGTTATTCTTCTTCTCGAGAACAGCAAATTCTCCCACACTGTAAAAAATATATGTAAAATTACATAAATAATAAATTACATGATAAATCATAAAAAGGTAAAAATTTCTATTTTTTATCGTGTAATTTTACATTTATTATTTATTATTTATCGTGTAATTTTACATATTTTTTTCTGTAATATATTACATATTTTTTTACAGTTATCTATGGTTATTCCTCTTTTCGAGAGCAGCGAATTCTCCCACACGGTAAAAAAATATGTAAAATTACATGAAAAATATGTAAAATTACATGATAAATAATGAAAAAGTAAAAATTTCTATTCTTTATCGTGTAATTTTACGCTTATTATTTATGTAATTTTACATATTTTTGTGTAACATATTACATATTTTTTTATGGTGCAGTCAGCCGACTCCGCGATGCCGCGAGTGTAAATGCAATGCGATGCACACGCGATAACCGGCGAATTTTCCCTGTAGATTGCGGTTATAAGTTTCGGAGCAGATCGCGCGGGGAAAATTTCGTTTGCGTTTCAATTCCCAGAGTTTACAAAGACGTGTATTTTTAAAGTGTTATTTCGAACGTGAGTCGGATTTCGAGGATCTTATTGACATATGTTGATTGTCAATTTTATATGGAACTGTATTTATTTAACTTTCCGTCACCAATCTTTTTTTTTTATTAACTGGATTTTTTAAATTCACCTTATATTATTTTTATATTTTAAACTTTGAAAAAATCCTGGAAAAAATGTTGGATTATTTGCTAATATTTCTATTATAATATCCAATAGATTAAATATTAAACTCAATTGTTTATAGAAAGCGAAAAATGAAAATTTGCTTGCCTCAAAAGACTCAGAATTAAATTTGTCACATTTATCTTACATTAGTTTTCTAATAAATAAAATGGATCTACATTCTTCCATATATATTACTATTATTTTACAATACAAGAGAATTGATTAATTTTTCGAAAACAAAACTTATTATCTCATTTGAATTTATGGCGAAAAATTTAAATGTATATCGCTACACAAAATAAATTTATCGTCCACCGTAAAAAAAAAAGTACGACGTATTTGTAATGGAAATTCGTGAACACAAATTCGACAGCGTATCAAATTTACTGCCTCTTTCTTTAACCAACCAATCATACGTCAAGTCGGAGAATAACAGCATTCCGCTGCGCAAATGAACTTCGATTAAACGAATTAAAAGCTTGCTCCGACTCGACGCGGTAATTCGCCATAAACGATTACGAGAGATAAGTCGCGCCAATTTCGGCAGTAACGTAGCGGAATCGCCAGTTTAAATCGCCGTCGTCGAATCGATATACACACATATATTACCCACACTATTACTCTTTTCCGCTCGTTAAATTGCAAATTAACAGACGAAGCCGCCGAAAAAACTGGTACATGAATTTCATTCAAGCATTCATCAAGGTATACTGTTGCCGATTTTATACAGACAGGTTTTCGCTTATCTTATAATTGGATAATAGCTCTGCGGCCATATAATTGCATAAATCGACAAGACAAAAATTGTCTACAAAGTAAAAGTTAAGTGCATCGTTAAGATGTTTTCAATAATATTTGTATGTGTATGTAAATATGTTAATTTTATTACGAATATATAAATATTGAATATGGAACATTATATGGAACATTAGTATATGTTTTATTTGACATGAGGAGAAATTTTGTTTTATTTATAATATTAATTATTAAATTTAATAATAATTAATATTATATTTAATAACAATAATAACTATTATATTTAATAATAATAATAATAATAATAACATTCTTAATCATTATGTGTGCAGTTACTCAATACATTTAACTAACCTACGTTTTTTATTTATAATAACTTACATTATATCGATGAAAAACTTGATAAAAATACATGCTATGGAAAAGACGTAGACGGATATCAAAATAAGTTTCTGGCCTTATCTTTATAATAATAATAGAGAGTCAGTCCATATAATAGTATCCTTATAATATTAAGCATACTGAATCATTTTACCGATCGCTCGACTTGAAGTAACATATTTTTGTCTCTAAATAATTGCAGGTTATATTTAACTAAAAAAAGCCTCATTTCATATGGCTAGGTTCCAGAACGAAGAGCTGACTGTTAGTAGTTTTCTGCGCGTCTTGGCGTCGCCGTCTGATTCTCGCGGCCACAAATGGCATAAACAAACTTGGATCGTGTTCAATAATGCTTCTGCGTTGAATAAACTGTACTGCAAGGCTCGCCGTATATCCAACTACTAAAGTAATTATCAGTCCCATAGGATTATACCATAAATAGGAAATGCGATAGAGGTAGAAGTACGACGAATTGTCCGGTTCGACAGTGCTGCAAAAAGAGAATGAAAATATATCATTCGTACACTGAAAGAATTTTCTCTTAGAATTTACCCTAAAAATCATGGTAAAATTGTGGGATAGTATGGTATTGAAAGAATTTTATAAGAGTTTCTCTAATTAATATTTACCACAATAACAAATATTAATATCTACCACAATAAGATATATAATTATAAAATATGTTTGATTAATTTTACTGTACACATAGTAAAATTTACTACTGTAATATTAATATTTTTATGATAAATATTAATCAGAAAAATTCTTATAAAATTCTTTCAACATCGTATTGTTCCACAATTAACATGATTTTCATGGTAAGTTGTAAGAGAAAATTCTCTCCGTGTACTTAAATTACAGTCCGGAGCACTGAATTTATGTGTCTATTTGTCATTAACAAGATTGGCTCGATTAAATGAGCTCGTTTCGTCTTTGAGTCTTTTTGCGAAGAGTTTCTCAATTTCTCGCATCGTTGAAAATAAAGCCGTCGAATTTCCGCCGACAAAGAGAAAGCATTAATACATATCTAATCCCGCTAATAATCCCGGCGCATCGAGGAGAATTCCACGGGACAATCGTAATTTCAGTTTATTAACGGCGCAATTAGCGTTATTTACCGCCGTGGGAATGTCGAATGGCGAGCTTATCGCATCCATGAGAAAGCGTAGAGAGTGCAAAAGAAATCGAGAAGTAGCGATTATTAGCTCGCAGCTAATTACAGCGGCACCTAAATATCTCTGCGTCCATAACAACATCGATGATTCAGAATTTTTTTTAATAGTCGCGATAGGACATTTTATAGGACACACTGATATTTTTTTTTTTTTATATTTTAACCATGCGCTGTCAAGTCGTTCTCTTTCTGTTTTACTCTCTCTCTCTCTTTTATCCGTTTCTCTCAATTAAGATAAATGTATGCTCGCGCGCAATTCGATTTGTCGGTTCACGATGAGCAAGATAAATGACCGGCAATTGTAATAAATACGTATATCGCATTCATCCAGCTAGCGCTTTCATATGCGCAACATGAATGAATAAAATAGATAATTATGAAAAATAGATTTAGAAATCGAAATCTTTCATCTCGCGTTTGTGAAACTACTAGACGACACTAAACCCGAAGCTTTACGTATTTAAAATTGATTTATTTTATTTTTAAAATTATTATATATAAATATATATTTTAATTGATATATGGTTTTAAAAAATTGCACCAAAAATTTAAATATTTTTTTAACTCGAAAAATATTAATTGAACTGTGACGCATCGCGTTTTGCGACGATTCATAAGGATATCTTACCTGTTGAGCTTTATCTGTTCGGCGAGCAACGCATTAAAATATTATATATTTTAATTATATATATATATTTTAATTATATATATATATTTTAATTATATATCGTTTAAAAAAAACTGCACCAAAAATGTAAATATTTTTTTAACTCAAAAAATATTAATTGAACCGTGGTGCATCGTTTTGCGACGAATCCTATAAGAATATCCTACCTGTTGAGCTTCATCTGTTCGGCGAGCAATACTGTGGCATTCGCGCAACCCTCGATCGACGTCGGTAGCTTCGGGACAGGTGGTTTCGGGTACCCGAACGCGGCCCACAAACAAACGATCAACGCCGTAATCATGCCGATGATGGTTCCAATTTCGTTGGCGCTCTCGAACACCATTCCCAGAGTGAAGATACCCAGAATGGGTCCGCCGATAGCGCCGTGGATGCTGAAGGCGGCGGCGACCAGGCTGCCCATCGTCTTCGCCAGCAGGGCTAAGAACAGACAAATGATGCCGTTCACAACCGTGAGCGCCTTGGCCGTGAAGGTGGCCCTCTTATCGGAAAACTCCACTCCGAACTTTCGATGCAGCGGCTTAACGTAATCCTCCAGCGCCACCGCGGCCAGCGAGTTCATCATGGCGGAAATGGTGCTCAAGCTGGCGCTGAAGATACCGGAAATGATAAGACCCACCAAGCCGGGCGACAATCTCTCCGCGGTGAAGAATGGTACCAGTTTGTCGTAAGTGCTGATCTTGTTCGAGGCCACGGGATCGCACTCTGTGTAGATCGCGTAGATCGACAAGCCGGCGAAACAAGTCAGGAAACCCACGAATGTGATGAAAGGACCGCACAGCAGCAGGGCATACGTAGCCACCTTCACGTTTCTGCGGGAGTGATCAATAATTGAGATATGATGCATATTGGAGAATTATGTAAATGAATATAGACGCACTTAACAGTCATTAAACGTTGGACTTGCACTTGATTCACTGCGAGATATGATAGAGCTATCGCTCCTCCGCCGAACAAAAGACTCCACCACGTGTATTGCACAGTTGGATCCAAACTCACGCTGAAAAAAGGAGAGAAGAAAATTTTATTAATATTTTTATCAATTTTTCTTATTTAAGGAATTATATCCTAACTGTCAAAAAAACATGTATTTTTAAGAATTCTTTTTTAAATGAAAGGTTTTTAAAATAAACATTCAATTGTATACATTTTAAGGATTCTGCAATATTTTTTTATTACAAAATATGAATAAACAATTGTTCATTATCTCGAAAAATTAATTTAGGACAAAATGGTGATTATTCAAAGTGCCGATTTTCGACCAAAAAATTGTTCGATTTTATCTGTAAAAAAAACTACGCAATGAAAAAAGCTACAATCGGATTGAATGTTTGAACATTTATTTTAAAAAGTCTTTCAGTTTTTCAAAAAAGAAATTCCTAAAAGTACATGTTTTTTTGACCTCACATAGGTAGGTATAACTCCTTGAGAATAAATTTATATTACAATAAATTAATAGATCCTGAAATAATGCGACATTCTCAGAAAATATATCGATCATCTTACTTGGAGAAATCGAGACGGTTTCCTTCCGAAGCAATGCGCCAAATACCACCGATTCCTCCAACCTCGCCAGCAACAATGAAGATGATAGTGCTAAGGGCAACGATCATGAGCAAACCCTGGAATATATCGGTGACCAACACCGCTTTGATGCCACCTATCGTTGAATAGAAGGTGCAAATTACGGAGAGTACCGAGATGCTCATAAAACTCGATAATCCTGTGGTGGCCTCGAGAGCTAACGAAGGTGCATATAGCATCACACCAGTCAGCAACATCGTTTCGGTGAAATTAGCCGCGCTCACTAACAATCGCATATACAATCCAAATCGTTTCTCCAGATACTGAAAAAAAGAATTTTGCAAAAGTAACCGTCCCACTTATTTCTTCGAATACATAAATATATACGAAGTCTTTTTATGCTTTAATAATTTCTTTAGGAATTAGTATAATTTGTAACAGCTCTTTAAAAATTAATATACATATAAAAGGCAATAAGAGCTAATTAAGTTCTGTTATTAATATTTATTTGTGGAAAATAATTTTAAATATAAAATATTAGACAAAAAAGTTCGACGAACTAATTAAGTTCTGTTATTAATATTTATTTGTGGAAAAATATTAATAACAGAATTTAATTAGTTCGTCGAACTTTTTGTCTAATATTTTGTTTAAAATTTTTTCCACAAATAAATATTAATAACAGAACTTAATTAGCTCTTATTGCTTTTAGGAATTAGATATATAGATTGTTATATATAGATTGATTTAAATTACAAGAAACCATTTTACAATTTGATTCAGATACTTGAAGAATTTTTGATGAATTTTTCGTACTTGGAAATTAATTTTGCTGTCAGGAAATGTAAGAAATTTTATTATACGACATTAATTGATCATCCTTGACGAACAACGTCAGAATTGATAGACCATATTCCGAGCGATTATTTGACAGTTACCTCGTAGATGCTTACGACCTTGAGCTCGAAGAAGACTGGTAGATAGCAGATACCTACGATTGGCACGACAAAAATGTTTGTAGTATAGAATAGTACGACAAACAAGCCGCGGATGTAAGTTTCCCCGCTCATTCCGAGCATAGAAATTGCTGATATATGGGAGGCCATCATGGCGATTGCGAGAGGAAAAACGCCTAGCGAACTGTCCGCGGTAAAATATTCCTGTTAAATAAAATAATTATGCGATTGCAAGAACTTTGTACACAAGAGACGTTTTATTTTTATTTATTTAAATATTTAGCTTATTATTATTATTATATAATTATTGTATAATTATTATATTAATTTAAACTAATGTTTTATTTAAAAATGTAAATAAATATTTTAATTATATAATTAGTTTAAATTAATCTTGGATAAAATTAAATTAAAGTTTCTCGATATGAGGATTAATTAATAAAATTATAGAGCAGTTATGCTTAGCACTTTTCTCTCTTAAAAATAAAAAAAATAGAATAAGAAAATATACGTCTTTATAATATAAATTTTGTTCTATTATTTTTCTTAATATTCACAAGATTTATTTTATAGATTTATAGATTATGTATCGTCGATTATCACTTCTCATCAAATTATAGTCTAACGTTAATTATATCATCGAGCATTTTGCAAACAATTTTAGTGAGAACTTAGTTTATTAGCAGTTGCAATAATCTGTAATTTGTGCAGATAATAGCATTTACGAAACCAGATCCATTGCATAACTTACATTAATATGATTTGCATACAGATTATCTCGTACGCGGTCAGTTTAATTCGCATAAAAAAGTTTATTTTCGAGAAACTAACCGCTGCAGTACGTTGTCGACCACCGCTGAATCGATAGTAAATCCCTATGAGGATAGAAATTGACATGATTGCGGCAATCACGAGGTAATCCTCCCATTGCAATCTATGGATTTCGCCCTCGATAATTGATGTCTATAAGCAAATTTCTCTTCGTTATGATTTATTGGAAAATTAATAATAGAAAGAGAGAGAGAGTTTTTTGAACCGAATTTTTAAATAATTTTGTGCTAAAACACATCTAAATACAATGATTATAAGATAGAAATATGACGTTAAACAATTTCTTAACTATTTCAAAGTTTATAAGACAATGAAAATATTTTTCTAGTTGTATCCAATGCTTTTAGTGTACTTACGCCCATCTTGTAAAATTTACACCTACACTATACACTATTCACTCGAAAGACGAAGTTTATTTTTAATCCAAATATTTAAATTTTGAGCGAAAGATGAGGAACTGAAATAACTTTTATATACACTTTTGAGAACATAGAATACGAAGATGCAAATATTTACGAGTGTTCGACAAGCTGCCACTAACGAATGTGTCCGTTTCCATCGACATGCAAACACAGGAAAAGAATTTATTACGTAAAGAATTGCTCGGCATATTTAGCGTTAAAGCACGCAAAGCATGGAATTTTCATCGGTAAATTAGATGTAGTAACATGTTATTTAATACTAATTGTTAGTTAAAAGAAACTTTTATCGGCGTAAATATCATGAATAAAGGATAAATTTAAGGCAAGGCCTATTTAAATACACATACATATTACAAATGTGCAACAAATATATTCATATTATGTAATATAAAAAATATATTTCTCTTTGATATCGGAATTTTTTTTTACTTTAAATAATGATGCTTGACAAAGTTTTATTGAGTATATATATATCAATTAAAGCTCGTCAGTTCTGAGGAAAGATTAGATTGTGATCATCGGATAAAGCTTAGCCTTAATTTAATGTACCGTAGATGATAGTGTTCAAAATGATTATCTTTACACATCAATCGTTCCGAAGGATCGATTCATTTTACGGTGATGAAAATGAAAAGAAATGTAACGCAAGTAAAGGACATTAGTTGAATAATAAATATATTTGCATTAATACACTGAAAAAAATTCATTGAATTTGAATAAATATTTATTTCATTACTGCCTAAATCATTTATTTGAAACTTATAATATTTAATTTGACGTAAAATATATTTATTTGATAAGAAAATCCTTTTCAAAACAGATAAATATTTATCTGTTTCAAATAAATTATTTATTTGGGAGTATTAAAATAAATAGTCATTAATTTAATAATTTTTTTCAGAATATAAAATTTCTCTTTAACTACTATTATATTTCGCAACATTTATATATTTATAATACACGTTAAATAATTATTCTCACACATTGATCTTATAATTTATTATTATTTGTTAGACTTTTATTTAGATTAATGAATAAACAATTAGTTTTCTGCATATACCTACTTTCTGAATTAAAAAGCAATTAAACTTTGATATTATAACAATATAAGAAACAGTAGTAAAACAGTAGACAAATAATGTTCAAAAGACATAAAACTGATGATTGCGGTTTTTGTTACGCTACTATTGCATAATAATTACCTATAGAATAATCTGTAGAATAATTTTAAACTGTAGTTTTATAATTTCCTAGTATGACTAGATAGAAGAATCATTAAAGCAATTTCGAATTATTATATTATTTATTCTACAAAAGAACAGTATCATAAAAAGTAATAGATTAAATCGATTTGACCCTAAAACTTCAGAATAAAATAAAACCTTTTGACGATGTCAAATAATTATATACTTTATTCACAAGAGTAGGAAGAAATAATAGTACGCGGAAGTCTTTCTTTCAACACATTACAAATTCTATTTCTAGTTAAAATGACTTTACTTGAAACGCGAGAGAAAGAGGGAAAAGTTTTTAAAAAGGTCTTGCCGTGTTTCAACATTATCCAGTCGTGTGTATATATATACTTGATATATTCTTGCTCGAATATACTTCTTCCTTCTATAACTAGTTGATGCGACACAATAAAGGTTAATGACGATCCCGTTTAAGTGGCAACTAATTTCCGACATTGTTACTGGTCTGTCGAACGCGTTGTTTTACGCGAATAGCATTGCCGATGAAAGAGAGAACAAGAACCAAGTATGGACAAAAGAGGAACGGAAAGCGAAAGAGAGAAAGAGACCTGAACAGAGAGAATGGGGGAGAAAAAGAGGAACTCATAAGTGGTGAATTCCCGTCATTAAGTCGTTAGCCGGACGACAGCAGACTAACTGTCGACTAACTGACTGCTGAACTTGATCGACCAATCATTGACCCCCACGGTCAATCGAAATTTACCGTGTGTTAACCAGTCTCGTTCCACATAATTCGTCGATATTATCCGGATGCGTAGGCCGCTTTCGGTAATTTCACGAGGGAAAATGCATATTGGTTGCGAAGCAGCTGTGTGCTTTAATTTGGAGGTATAATGCGGAAATTCATGTAAATTTTGTTCGAGGAGCAACGTGTTTCTAATTATCTTGCTTTAGAATTATGTTTTTCGAAATAAAAAAGTTCTATTAGATATATTTTCTTTTAAAAGAGATTAATATTTATATAATAAAAATCAATTATTATATTTTCAATATTTTAATAATTTATTTAATTTATTTAATATTTTGAATTAAATAAAATTATTTACAAAAATTATTAAAAATATTAAATATAAAAATTAATTTTTAATTTATTTTTATTATTTAAAAAATATGGAGTTTGCGCGCGGTTTTTATATAACGCATCTCTTATTAAACGAATAAGTCAAATAATCGTGAACCACTAATTGATCGTATACGCGTTATGCATATAAAGTGAAATTTCCTAAAGTATTCGATATCGAACTTTTTCATATTCACCATATATCCGTAGACATTAACATCATTTCAATGAGAGGGTTAATTAATAAAACACGTATAAAGCAAACCTCGGCAATCTGCGGGAGACTACATAAAACCAGAATTTCTCTTTCAGCGAACAAATGCTTTCAAACGATCGTGTTAAATAAATCCAATAAATGCAATAATCTCCTGCTAGGAATTTATTTTAATTCTCTCAGCAAACTAAAATGGATTGAATTTTGAATTCAATGTTCTCCTGCTTTCGCGAAATTGAAGAAATTTTTCTACGCGAGCACTTTATTTTTTAATTAGACTTGTTTACTATTTATATTAGCAATAACTAAAAATATTATAAATATAATAAATATATATAGATGGATATATATAAATATAGGATAGAGATATATATTATTATATAGACATAATAAAAATATAATATTATAGATAATAATATAAGATATTATTATATAATAAATATATTATATAATATTATTATATATTATATATACTATATAATCATAATATATTATATATATATTATATAATATATTATTATATACAATATATAATAAATATAATATTATTGTAATATAGTAATATTACACGCAAAAAAATATTTTATAGCGTTAAAAGAACTTTGGAAATTAGTGTTTCACGATTCGTCTGGCCGATCAGATAATATCGGTCGCGTGCGAGTCTCATAATTAATTAATAACGAGGTGACTGTCTCATGATTGTGGTATTTGAGTCAATTCATGCGTGATGCTACACGCTCCGCCTCCGATTTCGTGTTTTTAATTAATCCAATGTGGGTTTTAATAGGGAGGGAATGTAACATTTAATTCGAAACCAAGGTCCGCTAATTACAAACGTCACCATCCATCATGTTTAATGTCAAATGTATCTAATATAACGTAATATAGATTCTTCGGGTGTGATAAAATGCAAAGTATGTTTTATATTCCTCGTATAAAATAATAATGTTCAAACCGTAAGATATTTTCCTTGTTGTTGAGAGGCAACGCTATATATCTTTCAGTTGTTGTGACACTTGGTATAATTAGACTTACCGCGCCGTAAAGTGCAAATTGCGATTCAGAATCATACGATCCTGCAGTATCTTTTTCATCTCCTGCCAGCGAAGCGTTTCTGCTTACGTATGCGAAACTTATTCAAATCATCATCTGTGTTCATCAAGTGTCAAATTACTGCTTGCCATCCTTGAATTTAATCTTTACGTTTCTTTCTGAATCATTGCAAATATCAAAATAAAACAGCTATCGTCACGTTTTCAGCCATTTCTTGCATAAACATTTATTATATCTTCTTAATGCGCCATATCGCGATCTCGCGTTTAAAGATCTTTTCCATTTATTTAAATACCAGTTAGAAAAAAAAACAACTTAAATTCTCTCTCTTGGCTTTTTCAGTTTCTATAAATGCACGCATTGACGCGCATGATGTCAGAAACGCGTATCTACCCGATTAAAAGAAATTGGAGAACTATATAGTTTCCTGGAAATAGTTCTAAAACGAATTGCAAAAGTATAATAAATATCTAACGACTCGAGCTATATAATAACGAACGTTCTGACTTACGTAAAAAGACGTGGAATTGTGTAGCTTAGTTCCTGCGCATGCACAAAGCATGAAAACCATGACATTGTATTCGTAAAATTCTGCTGAGCTGAGATTGCGAAATGCCACATAGTCATATATGCGATCGAATCGCCTTCAGAACATTTTCAGTGATACACCGCAGTGATATTCTTTATTAAATGAACAAAATAATTTTTTTCATTGTGACAAACAGAGAGAGAATTTATTTCCAATAATGACAAATGCTATCTTTCTTTAATATAAAAAAATAAAAAAATAAAAAAATATACGTGTTCTTGATTAAAGAAATTTATAGATAATATTAAATTTCAAGATTAAAAAAAAGTTACTCTTCTCTCGTATTATTAACACCGCGTGTGGCTGGGAAAAAAGCGTGAATTAAGCCGTGAAGTGTTAAGAAGAGCAACCGTTATTCTTCATCAAGTGTCAATTGGTTCCCTGCTCGTATCATAGTAGCTCATCGTAATTTAGAGATGCGGGTATATCGCCTCGAATTCCGAGACTGGAAAAAATTTATAGGACTCTTGAACACATCACGCGGCACGTTGTACGTTACGAAAGCTGCCAATTAAGTTAATTAATGAAACTGTGCGCCATTCCTCCAGCGCTGGGAACAAAGAAATTGCCTAGCGAAGCTCTTCTTTATCATGCGACGCACGTGTCATCGAGCGGCGATTTGTGGTGGAAAGTGAAATACGACAAGACCGCATATTAAAATACCTGCATGCTGCCAAACGACTGAAGTGCGGCGATTTTTTGATGGCGATTCTGTGTTCGGAATGCGCCAATCTGCCGCGACGCATAATTTAGTGCAGATATTTAAATTTGATAAATTCGCCTACGTTACGCAATAAATTCGCGTGTTATGCAATTTTTTGACATTTCTGTAACTGAAAATCGACATCGCGAATTGGACTCGGTGAAATTTATTAATTTGGGACAAAGGAAAATTCAGCAAATTATTAATTTAATATTCTCGTATTCTTAAATCTGTAT